TCAGAGGGCGCATACCCCTGCCAGGGCAATAGGGTCCCTGATGCAATTAAAAATATTGACACTCGAAGAATTACACTAAAATCCCCTATTTCTCAAACAAGTGATAATGATAATAAATAATGATAACGATAATAAATGATGCAATTATTTAAAAGATTCCTGGATTCCTGAATCGTCCTGCTAACCAACTAACAAACAAACTAACAAACAGACAAAGAATCTAACCAAAGCTACTAAAACAACCTCTTTGGCAGAGGCAATAAGGATTATATTATAAAATAAGATAAAAAATAAAAAGAAAGAAGAGGAAGAAGGAGAAGAAAAGAAGTAGTAGAAGACGAAAATATAAAAGAAGAAGAAAAAAGTAAAAGAAAAAGAAAAAAATAATTAGGACTATAATAACAATAGATAAGAAACGGTAAAAATTTTAAAAAAGAAAAAGAAAGAAGAGGAAGAAGGAGAAGAAAACGAAGTAGCAGAAGACGAAAATATAAAAGAAAGAAAATGTAAAAGAAAAAGAAAACAGAAAAAATAGTAAAGAAAAAGACAGAAAAGCAGAAGAAGCAGAAAAAGAAAAGATAAATTAGTAACAAAGAAAAAACAGTAAGAAGAAGACAAAGAAAAGCAGAAAAAAAGAAAAGATAAAATAGTAGCAAAGAAAAAAAAAACAGTAAAAGAAGACAAAGAAAAGCAGAGAAAAAAGAAAAGATGAATTAGTAACAAAGAAAAAACAGGAAGAAGCACAGAAAAAGCAGAAAAGCAAAAGAAAAACAGTAAGAAGACAAAGACAGAAATTAGTAACCAAAAAAAAAAGTAAGAAGACAAAGAAAAGCAGAAAAAAAAAGAAAAGACAAATTAGTAACAAAGAAAAAAACAGTAAGAAGACAAAGAAAAGCAGAAAAAAAAAGAAAAGACAAATTAGTAACAAGAAAAAACAGTAAGAATGAAAAAAAAAAAGAAAAAAGATAAATGTGTAAAACGACTGTAAGGTAAGAGAGTGTCTGAAATCGGTGTCCTCTCGTAAAGAGCCTTGAAGCGAGCAGCAGAAGACAATAAGAATGAGGATAATGGCAGCTTCAACCTCCCCAAGAAGTCGTCTCTCCATCATTGCCTTCCCTCTGCCGGCGCTGCGCTGCCTGCCCTGCCTACCTCCTGCCCCTGCCTGCCCCTTCCTG